CAGCCCGGCGGCGGAGGTGGGGGGCGGGCTGCGCGGTCCCTTCTTGCGGTAGCCCTTCCCTCCCCCTGGCACCGCTGCTCGCACATAACCTGCTGCCGTAGCATTCCCTGTCCCAACTGGCTTCGGCCACACGTGACTGCTAGATCAGTCCACATGGCTCTTTTCAGGTACGGGGGGTTACACGGGGTTTATATTTAGTCGTCCCGGCAGGCCGGCGGGTGAGGTGAGGTGAGGCCTGCCCTGCTCTGGCGCGGTGTCCCGAGGCACGCACTGCAAACACCGCGTTTGGGGGCTGTGCTGGGCTGTGCTGGGCTGTGCTGGCAGCAAACACACGCTCTGCCTGGCCTGATCCCCGCTCGGGGCGTGCGTGCAGGTGAAACCATGTAGAAATGGTTTCCCACAGAATTCTCATCCCGTGTTACTCACACTTGCCTCGGGACAAGCACACAGCAGTGTCCCGGCGTTTGTCTCCTGTTGGTAGGCATCACTATTTTACAGATTTTGAAGATCACCTCTAGTCTTTGATTCCTGAAAGAAAACTCCATGAGGTACAGCCGTGTGGTGCCTGCTCACCCATAGAGTGAGTGTGTGACCTTGGGAAAAATCAATTTATATCTGTCCCTATTTCACAACCACTGCCCCAGATACATGTGTGCCTTTACCAAGTGCTTTGAAACTGACAGAAAGAAAATACTCTAAAATTTACGTGAAACTTGAAGGCTGATACACAGGCTTTGTTCATCTTATTCTACATATTCTTAAACTTCTCAGCTGCTTTATCCATGTAGTGCTATGTAACAGTGGCTGAGAGCATGTCAGCCTGGACGGTAGTAGGTAGGTAGGGCTAACACAATGCTCTATGGTGAGAGGCCCAGTCTCTACACATGTGCTGTTTCTTGTGTTTCTTTCTAGACATCTTTCTTGTCATCTTTTGCAGTAGCTTCCAGCCAGGGAAAGTCTGGAAAAGTAATTAAAATGTGGCTCCCTTTCTTTTCAAGTGGAATGGAGAAGTCCTTCTATTGCTTCTACTATCCAGTTTCCAGATTGCTATTAATGGAAAGGAGGTGATTTTTCAGTTCCTTCCAATCTCCATTTCATTTTTGGTGAATAGCATATACCCATGCCTCTGCTTCTGTTTTCAGATTTTCTAAGCAGTCTACATGAAGGACTCATCAGGAAGAACTTGCTCATACTTACCAGGCAGGCTAATCAGAAACCTATTAACTTTAAATAGGAGCTGTAGATAAACTGGAGTAAACTTGGAAATACTCTGGTATATCCAGTTCAAATGCAAATAAAGAATTTCCTTTAATCTTTGTTTTCTGAAAACAGGGCAATTCTGGCATGTATCTGACCTACATTTAGATCCGACTTACCACATTACCCCTGATCGCACCAAAGTCTGTTCTTCTTCCAAAGGAGCCAATGCCTCCAACCCAGGCCCTTTTGGGGACTTTTTGTGTGATTCTCCTTATCAACTTATTTTGTCAGCATTTGCATTCATGAAGGATTCAAAAGAGCAGGTTTCATTCATGATTTGGACAGGGTAAGTGTTCAAGTCACTCTGCACTTAAAGCTGGATAGCCAAATAGTGTGGCAACTCACAAGTTTGTATTTGCACCAACAGATTTAAGTTCAGTATCTCACAAATGCTAGTTGTCCCTTTAGTTGTCCAAATGGCAAAAGTGGAAGAGTGAGTGAGAGCATAAGGCTTCAGGGACAGATTTTGATCTCTGTAGTAACTGCTATATTGTTCATTGTCATATTTAGCATAGGGCTATATTAGTGAGAGTTAATAAAAATGGTGCAGGGTGGGCGGGAAGTAAAAAATGCAAAAAGAAAGGTCAGGGCAGTAACTGACTCATTGCAAGCTTCTGTTGAGTAAGAACATTTACCTTTCCTGTTCCAGACTCTCAGAGATGTTACCTGTGAGGTTTTGTGTGCCTTAGCAGTGGGACTAGACAAAGAAGTGTGAAAGGGAGCAGCTTCATAGTACTATGCTATCAAGGCATAGTACTGTGCCTTATTACTTTCTAGATATTCATAAAAGATAGCATTAACTTACCCTTCTGCCATAGCAGAACTCTCAGGTCTAACATCACCCAATTTTTTAAAGCATACATCGATGGATAATTTATCAAAGAGATTAGTATTTTTGATTGTGAGAACTAGTTTGTTTATGTTAAATCACTCATTTTTACTGGGAGTGTTAAATATATGAAGGCAAGTGATTAATTTATTTCACTTACCTTATTGTACTTAATTTTCAACAGGATATTGTTAAAAGGGAAAAAGAAACTAGCAATGATGTGCAGGTGATGAAAGATATACAACACAAACTGCACAGTAGCTCAAAATGATGACTAATTTCTAAGAAATCTTCATTATGATAAATATGAATCATAGGATAGACATTGTCTAAACAAGTCTACTTGTTCATGGTTTTTTAAACAAAAGCCTTTGCAGAGAGCCTTTGATTCTGTGATTTTAATTAAGTTGTATAGTAGTGTTACATGCTAGAATGTAGATCTGTTTGCAGACTTTTTTGCCTTCCTTGTGTTGCTAACAAACCTTTGTTAATCAAACATTTTCCTTTTTCAGAGATAGCCCTCCTCATGTTCCCATAAAAGAGCTCTCAACAAAGTTGGTCATCAGCATCATTGGTAATCTGAGTTCTACAATTCGTAGTTTCTTTCCAGATCTTCAGGTTTTTCCAGCCTTAGGCAATCATGACTACTGGCCACAGGTAAAACAAGTTAGAAATTTGTTCATACATCATACTGAGTGTGTTCTTAACTTCTGGGAAAGCACGTATGAAAAATAATTATGTGTAACTGTTATTCTGGAGACAGAATTCTACAGTTAGCATATAATAGTATAAATAGTTCCACTTTAGAACAGAAACTACATGACTCTCTGTGCACTTACCTAGGGAAACCCTGACCCTGGGTACAATCTGTACATGGCCTGAGGTCACACAAATTTACTACTAATCATTCCTCATGGCTTAGAACCACCATGTGTCAATGTAGTTAATACACACATACTTTTCCTTACTGTGTCATGTGTCATGTCATGCGTGGGTATACAGTAACTTAATCTAGCAGAAGTGACATCAATAATGGACCTGTGAGCCTGTGGTAAGTTTTAAAGCCTACTGAAAGGCCTACTGGAAATCTGTCAGCTAGCATCATTAGATTTTTTTTTCTTTTTAACTAAAATAATGGCTGAGTTTTTGTAACATTCCCATAGTTTTGCCACTACTATTAAAAATAAGTCTACTTTTCTTTCCTCATTGGGCATTTAGAAATAATCACATTGATGATTCACTAGTTATGTGCAGCTGAGGATGGTGCTTTTTCACTTTGACTGTGCTGAATATTGTTCTTGGCATGCTCAAAAGTAAACAGTTGCTTCATTTGTCCTTTAAAGTGTTTTGTGGGTCGATCTGGCAGCACACTGGATCAGAAACAAATGCTGTCATTGGATGTGAGGATATTGGAAGGGATGTGAAGCAGGTCAGCTGAAGTATTTTGTTTGAAATTCCTCATGGGAATTCAGTAACACCCCTTCACACCCTCAAGGCTTGTATTCCAGCTTTCTGTGGTGTTTTTTAGGCCTGTCAGGGTGTAGGTTGGTGCAGCAGGTGATTGTGTGATTGTCAGTGTCATTGCTGGAGCTAGTGGTTTCCTAATAGGGGCATAGCAGAGGTGCTGAGAGACATGGCAAAGGAAACGTGAGAGACAAAGTAACAGCTAAATGTATATTGGAAGTGGGAGTGCACAAACCAAACTGTGACTTCAGTCCTTTGTGTTCTTACTGTGGTAGTAAAGCTACAGCTTTTCATATGCACTGGCATGGGGACAGGTTGATTCACTAGAAAACACTGGGAAGGTATTAAATAACACCTTAACTGAAGTGTCACAGAGTGTTTTGTGTTCACTTTGTTTCATTTTAAAAAATGTCTTAGTAGAGAATTGTTATTCAGCAATCTCATCTGACAGAGGAAAAAAAACCTAAAAAAACCTTGTAAACAAGGAATGTAGGGACTTTTTCAACAAATATGAATTTTGTTTGTGAAATTAAATCTGGAGACAGAAAGAAAAGATGCTCAGAAGGGGCAGATGGGCAGCAAATAGAAAATTGAAACAAGCTGGTGATTGGAATAACTGGTGATTGTTGTTAGTTCTCCCTGCACAAAGCCATTCAGGAGTGTTTCTGTGATACTTTGAAATGGCATGTTTCACCAATGTGCAGAACTGGCATGTTTTTCAGTTATTGTTTGAAAAAGACATGGGATCAAACAATCCCCACTATGGGGTTATTTCAACTTGTTCAATTTTTTAATGTTTGTTTTTTGCTCTTTATGACATTTCTTCTTTTTTTCATATGGGTGGGCTTGGCAAATATCCTGTAGAGCGGAAGCGATATGGAGCAAGCCAGGCACTGTAGGCTTTTCCAAATCAAGTGTAAATGCTGTACACACACCGCAAACCAAAGAATTTTATTGCTCTTTTGTGTTCTGAGCTGTCTGTCTTAACAACTGAACAATCCTGGGTGATTTTTCCTGAAGAACCTGTTAAAAATACTACTCAGGTTAATCAAGCATTGGCATACTTTTCAGATCATATATTGTAACCTTGGCCTTACTGCATAGTCTTACTTGTTTCACACCCTTGCCCCTGTTTAAAACAAGTCCCCAAACTGCTTATAGCAGTTCAGAGAACACTGACTTGCCTGGGGCCAGAGGACCTTCAGTCCATAACATGGCCTTTTATCTAGAATCAGGTTTTTGCTGTGTCTGTTAGTAACTGTTAGCCCTGGCTCAAAGCTGTCCTAACAGCACATGTCTGGGCACTGCAATCAACAAATGCCTCAACAGATGTCTGATTGCTCTGCTCCTAGACAGAGATTTACTGCCTAAACCTCTAATAACATAGGTTTAGTTTCAAAGATCTTAGAAAGGTCAAATTTTATGTTTAAGAAAACACGCACTGAAATTTTTTCAATCCCTGGGTTTTCTCCTTCTAGCACCAAGACTCCAGATGTTTTAGGAAAGGCAAGGACAGGCTGGTATCTTCCTGTCAGGGTTAGATCAGAGCATGGGTCTCATCAGACTGAAGAGTGCTACAGCCCTAATTACAGTCAGTGGGAGAAAACATTGACAAAACTTTCCCTTGTACATTTTAAAATGTTTTCTTACAAGAAAAAAAGGACATCATGAAAACATTTGTGAATTTCACCAGAATGGTTTCTGAGGGCCAAAGAGTTTTGGGGAGCTGCTATGAAACCCAAGTTACTTGAAGAAGAAACTTATTTTCATCCAAAAGACTTTATTTTTAGACTTTGACTTGACAGTTGATGCATTTATTAATTTTGCAGAATGTATGGTTTTCCATTCTGCTGTATTCTTAAGGCTTGACATGTTTCTGGCATTAGTTTAATAATGCATTAACAATGCATTGCAATCAGTTCTAAGTTTAGGCATTTTTTCCTGATCCGCCACACTGGATATTCAGCAGTTGTTTTTTTCCTTTCTTGAATTTCTCCTGGTGATGAGTGGATACACTTACATTTTATGCAAGAGGTCAGGCAAGTTTTTTGTCTGTGTGTCTGAATACTAAGACTTAGGCAGGTTCTCTCTCACAGGACCAGCTTCCTGTAACTACCAGTGAAGTTTACAATGCTGTAGCAGATTTCTGGAAACCTTGGCTAAATGATGAAGCAATCAATACCTTCAGAAAAGGTAAAGTATGGCAGTAATACATTGTGAAACTAGGGCTTAGAAAATTAATGATTCTGTGGATTTGTCCTGTTTGTTTAGCTAAGTCTCATAGGATGAGTCAGAACAATGGATTATCTATAATGCTGCTCCTGGAAGAAGTTACTTATCTTTTTGAATGGCAATGCCTATATTCAGAATACATTTATTACTTTCTGATGCAATATTTATCACTTCTTGTAACATGTTTAGTGTTATTGACTTTGAACCAATGCATGTGAAATATCTTTCTGCTTTCGAGACCTCGTAACACTTTTTAGATGAAGGTGCATGACGCACACGAAACTTTACTTTGATGGGAAAAAAACTGTTAAAATGCTGTTTTTGTTTTAATGACATATGTATTTCAGAGCACACTGAATAGGTACATTTTTATTCAGGTTATGATGGCACATAGCTTTGGTGATTATGCCATTAATATTTGTGTGCACCTTACTAAACTGGCAGAATAATTATATCCTAATGAGAATTTTTCTTTTTAGAAAACGACTGAAATGTTCAATCCAATTTCCAATCCACTCAAACATTAGGGATTTGGAAGTTACATTTGTGTTTTTGTGTCCTGAATGAAAGCAAACTCTGGATAAGAGTGGAAGTAGAAACTCGAATGAGGGTAATAAAACTCAAAGAGGCAGACCTTAAGTTAAATTATATTGTTATTCTTCTGTTGCCATGGCTCCATTGAAGTCCATGAACTATGAATTTATACTTATTGAAGAAGCTCAGCATGCCATGGAGAATTTTTGGAGCAAGGTTTGAAAAATGTGATCCTTACTTTTCATCATATCATCAGTCTGAAGTTAAATGACTTCCAAAGTACAGGGCTACTAAGCTCAAACAGTTGTTCCTGAAGGAGCCTCTATGTTTGCGGTATTTCAAGAAGTATGGGCCTTTCACAACTACTGTATCTGTCAGTGTGGAAGAAATATTACAGGGCACTTTTTGCATGTCAGTTGGACAATTGCATCTAAATACTGTCAAATAAACACTAAGATAATACAGGCAAGAATTCATAAATAATTCAGTGTCAGCTTCTAGTAAAATGTGGCTGAAAACATTGTTAACAAGGTCTATTGTGATAAGGTGACTGTGGCTTGAATGAGTATGATATTCTGTCAGAAAGAGGAAAGTTGGGTATTTTGTCAGTGGTGTACTTTGATTGTAAAGTTGTGCTTTGAAGCCTTTAATTTGTTATCTGATGTTGGTTTTATTTTCACAGGTGGCTTCTACACACAGTTGTTTGAACCCAGTAATAGCCATCAACCACTCAGGATAATCAGTCTGAACACAAATTTGTATTACAGCCCCAACAAGGCAACTGTGAATATCACAGACCCAGCCAACCAGTTTGCCTGGCTGGAGGAAATACTTGAAACCTCTTCACAAAAGAAGGAAAAGGTAGGGATCTGGAACAGAAGCAATCATTATTTGTTTCAATTTTGAAAAAAATAAAAAAAAAAAAAAGATGGAATAAGTAGGAAAAATGAAAGTATAAACACACTTCTAGAAGAATAATAATAATAATGCTGCCAAAGATACTACAAAGTCAAAATTTTATTTTTTCATAATTCCTCCTTTAATATGCACATTTTACAGCAATAATTAATAAACTAGTTGAATTAAGTTTCTCAAATGATATAGTAAAATACCTTTTCTTTCCTACCATGTAAAATATTGTAGAGGTCAGTTTGACCTTTTTACACATAGCCTTTAATTTTCAAACATATGCTCTTGGCCTAAGACAAAAGCTAGCATATTTTATTTTCATTGTAATGTAAAGTATCAAAAATAGAAATTAGAAAAGAGTTTATCAGCCAAAAAATTTAGCCAAGTTGCAGTACTTGCTATCATTTGAGTGCTATAATAACTTGTCTTATAATACACAGGTTTTGAAGTGAAGGTTTAAATTGTTGTCTCCTGATTGATTCATTCATTCATTGGCATGGGGATTGGATCATCATCTGAGCAAAAGTATTTAATTGAAACATGTTTGCATTTGGCTACAGTGTTGCAATTTTAGAATGTTATATTACACTCAGGAGAAAAGAGATTTCCCTTTCTCAGGAGACCCTGCAGCATGTTAGTTGGTGTGTGCAGTTGGCACTAAGTATCTACTACCTCAGACAGGAGTTTTAACTAGTTATCCATGTTTCTGGTGACTCTCTGACTCTGGAGTAGACTGTAATACTCAAACATATTTTTTTTCTTCTGTCCTCTTGTGATGCCAAATTATAAGCCTTGCCCTAGTAACTTATTTTTTTTTCATTTGAAGTAATTGATAACATTTTCCTTAGGCCTAAGACCATGCACAGATTTATTGGAACATTTTTTTCTCCCCAATAATATACTAAACTGGTGTTATGAATTCAGGTGATCTTACTGTTGGGATTTTATATTAAAAAACTGTCATGATTTACAGCTTTTAGAATGCCATTTTAAAATGCTTTAAATAAAGTGTTACTATGAAACTGTGGTAACCACTTCTAGGATACAGTTAAGATTTTAAGTTTCAAATTAAGGTGCTAATTGTGCTTTCTGTATTTAATTCCTTAGGTGTATATAATAGGTCATGTCCCAGTAGGATATTTGCCATATGCAAGGAACACTACAGCTGTCAGGGAGTATTACAATGAGAGGCTGGTAAAGATTTTTCGCAAATACAGTAGTGTTATTGCGGGCCAGTTTTTCGGACATACACATAGAGATAGTATCATGGTCCTCCTGGATGAAGAAGGTAATGATGCTTGTTGACTCCTGAACTTTTTCTTCCTGATTAACAGCAAATTAATACTTTCTTGCATGTTCTTTCTAGTCAGCCTGTGTTACAAATAATTGAAGAAAGGAAATTGGGATATACGGTCATGTATTACTTATCTCACACACTCCAATTTTATTTCCAAAGAGAACCTTGCAAGGGTGACTGTCTTTTTTTTGTTGATGTCAGCAGAGACTCCCCAAGCTTCCTAACCTTTTTTTTTTTTTTTTTTTTTCTTTTAAATGAATGCTTATGCCTATTCAAGAATTTCTAGTCTTTCCTCTCTGCTCTCCCAGTGACATGGGCAAATTATACCAGCCAGTTGCTATTGTGTAATGTGTCAAAGGGAATGTTCTCAGGCCAGCTAGACATGCTCTATGTTCTTGTATTTCCTGCATCATTACTGTGCCTCTCTGCTGAGTTCCCTGCTGCTTCAAAGTTAATTAAGATAAGGGTAAGCAGGAGGTAGGGGAAAGAAAGTCTCTGCCTGTTGCATCTCTTAGATCAGCTAATTTCCCTTCAAGAAAATCACCCACGTTGAAATTTTTGTTTATTGCTTTGAAATCCTTTAGTTCTAAGCATGGGCATGGCCATATGGAGCACTCGTAATATCTCTAACAGAAGAACTCTAACAAGTTTTGTCTTCATATTAGAACTGTAAGAGGTTACCCAAATGTTAAATGGCTCTTCATCTATGATTTATATAAACTCATATGAGCAATGCGCAAAATGCTGACTAGGTAATACTGTTCCAAATTTTTACCTTTTACATGGTGCTAATCTCTAATAAAAAATAATCCAGCCCAGTGAAAGAACTGGGCTTTATTTTTTGTTGTTGTTATTTTTTTTATTATTATTTATTATTTTATTTTTTTAAAATTATGCTCAATGCAGTCTTATACCTATATTTTTACACATTGTCCCATTTGTTCATGAAACCATCATCGCTGCTGCAAATTTCACTGGGAACAGATTGATCTTGGTGTTTGTTGTTAAAGTTTGCATGTGCAAGTAACTACTTCCCAATTATTTTAGTAATTTTGCATCTTTTGACAAAATTTAAATAGTAATCAAATACACATTGTGTATGTCTGTACAGTTTTAAACTGTCTTCTATTCAGGATGTCTTCCTCTTGACAAAATTCCAGAGAATTCAAGACAAATGCAATATTGCAGCCAACACCAGAGTACTGAAATAGACCTCAGCTGTATTTTCTCCAGAAGAATCTACTGATTTTCAAACTTTCAGAACTTCTGCCTATATGTGGAGGCTGACCTTGTGATTTCACTGCTGTGACACTGCTTTCTTTTTGTCCCACTGAGAACTTCTCAATGTACTCACCTGCACATTCTGTCTCAATAAAACTCACATACATCCTCATGGTTCAGTTGCTGTAAAGGTCGGTGTTCACACAGTAGATGCTGAGCTACTCAGGGTCAGGTGATGAAACAGACCCTGGTGTTTCTAATAACATCATGAATACATACAGCAACATGTAAAATACAGTATGGAACCAGCAATTAAAGTTTTTAAATATTTATTTAGTAGAAATATACAAAATACAGAGACTTTACATATAAGCAAGACCATTTTGCAGCTTTGGACAGACAGCTGTATTGGTTGGGAAGCCTCTAGTATAGACAGGCTTAAATGTTCTACACTGGAGTGGGTACTGTGATATTTCACAGTTTGGTCTATCCATTGGAAGTATGGCAGTTCACAGTAGGTACATCTAAATCAGGTGAAAAAATTTCTTAATGTCTTTAAGCCTGTCACTCTTGTTTTTGCTGTGTTGGTACTCTACAAAAACATTTGTTTGAAAAAGAAATGATTGAAAGGAAACTGTCTCCTCAACTTCCCTTTTTCTGCAGAAAAGCCAGTCAATTCCTTGTTCGTGGCACCTGCTGTAACCCCAGTGAAGGATGTATGGCAAATAGAGTCCAATAACCCTGGTGTCAGACTGTATCAATATGATCCTTTTGACTATAGCTTGCTGGTAAGTAAAGATTTTAAAGCATTATTTAAGACTTTATAGTGTCTGTAAAAATTACAGCAAGATTTCAGTCTTTGTAGTATTATGGCTGCTGGTGATGGAACTTGGGTGCCTATGCTTAGTTTTTCTTCCTGGGCATAGGAAAGGAAATCTGAAAGAGAACTTGGTTACTCTTCCTGTGCCTGCAGAGCTCCCCAGTACTTTCTGCTCTGTATTGAATATTCTTATGATGTAGAATCAAAGACAGAATTTTTCTGGGCAAAATCTTAAAACTGTTTGCAGGGATCTCTGCAATGCTGAAAGAGGTTCATCCGAATCTTGCATGCTTACATACCAATTTTGTTTTCTGGCGATAGCCTGAGTTTTGGGATGCAGCCCATGAAATGTTTCTAAAGGGTGTAAACAGGCTGATGAAGAAAGCACTTTTAACCATAGAACGTTTTTTGTAATCATTCACCTTGCTATGTAGAGTTTTTGTAGGGAATATTAGATAAATTTAGAAGGAAAGTGAAAAGTAGAAGGCTTCTACTTTGTAGTTTCATGTGATTTTTGGAGATAAAGTGAATCCTGTGTAATTATTTTGGCTGTGAATGGTTTAGGCTTTCTCTCTGTAATTCAGGATAAAATCTTGACCCTGCCGAGTTCAGTGACAATGCACCCTGCAGCTTGATTGGGACTGGGGTTTCTCTCTGGAGACCTATGCTAATTCAGGCTGCTCCTTTCTTGTTCAAATTTCACTCCTGCATCGACATCCCTCCTTTTCCTTAACTTCATCCTGGGCCGTTCTTTTTCTGTCTGTTCTGCCCCTCAAGTAGAGCCCACAGAAAGGAAACTTCTGGCTCTTTTGCCCCACTCCTAAAGCAGATATGAGCGTTGTGGATTTTGGACAGGAAAGCCCTCTAAGACTGCCACTGCTGCCTTTGTGGCTCCTTTTTCTCCTCCTCCCCATCCCCCCACCATTACCGCTCTGCAAGTACCGGCTTTGGGTGTAAGCCCAGCGCTTGGGGTGGGACGTGACCTTCTATTCACATGTGAATAATGAGGAGTGACAGCTTCCTAATCAATATATCACTCCAGAGACTTAATGAAGCAGGGAAGAAAGCAATACAGCAGCGCCTATTTTTTTCTTTCTTTTTTTCTTTTTCTTTTTTTTTTTTTTTTAACTGTAGGATCTTTGGCAGTTTTACTTGGACCTCAGAGACGCCAACAAGAAAAACGAATCGAACTGGAAATTAGAATACATCCTGACTGAAACTTATGGCATTGAAGACTTGAAGCCAGAAAGCCTATATGAAATGGCCAAGCAGTTGTCTATGCCACACAGCACACTGTTTGAGCAGTATTACAGTAACTATATTGTGAGTTATGACAAAACTATTCTCTGTGAAGAGGGGTGCAAGACCTGCCAAATATGCTCAATCCTCTATTTAGATTACTCCTCGTACGCAGATTGCATCAATCAGGGGGCAATGTGGAGATGAAATCTCTGTGCAGTTAATGCAGATAGTGACTTTAGCCTGTGATTTAAAGAACCTGCTTCTTCTTTCGCTCAAGCACTAACATGCTTGAGCCTGTGGGACTTCTCTACATTTCAGGGGAGAGGTAAAATTCCCTAGATCTTTCTTTTTGCAAATATGTTTTCCTTTATCATCTGAATAAAAATTTATTTGCTATGTTGTAGTGGCCAGATACTTCGCTTTGCCTCAGGTGTCCTGTACCCTCTGTAACAGGCATCCCATTGTGTTGAAATAGAAGTTACTCAGGTCTTTGTAAATCCGAGTCTTATTTCTCAGGGTGTATAAACACAGGCAATGCCATTTCAGGCTTGGATTTTTTATGGGGGCAGGTTTCAACCAATGGCTGTCAAAATTTGCAAACTGAAGTCGACAAAACCTGCATTTGCTGAGACTTGAGTGCAGTTATGTTGTTGATGCAATGCCAGTATTAGATATCTCTCTGTGCCAAGTTTTCCTTGTTAATCCCTGAAACCCATTTCTTAGGGGCATTTTCTAATGATGGCATAAAAGTGACTTAATGGAATACAAACCTCGATTCTGTAAATGCTTAATCTAATTTTTCAGAATATGTTTGCCCAGCACAGAGTGCTTTTTTCTGACAATAGAACTATGTACATTGATACAGCTGTCAAGGACTGTCCTGGTAAGAGATTTTGCAGCAGACCATATATCAGATTTAAATTGATCAACAACAGTAATTGGACTCAGTGTATACATTGTCTGTGGCACAGGTAAACATTTACTTGTCTTGCTGTTTCTTAGGTTTTCTTTCTTCAGAAAGCAGTCTAGTACTTAATGTGAAGTCTATCACATGTTCAAATTTACAATTGCAGAGATTGCTTTTTCCTTTTCTTATGGCTACGTATGTTCACAAGATGATGCTATTAAGATAGCCCTTTATCTGCTGTGTGTATAACCAAGAAGGACCTTTACCCATTTTTCTGCCACACAAAAAGCTATACTTTTGGAAACTTTGGTAATAAAATACAACACAGACCATGCTCTATATTATCCCTGAGTAAGGGGAGCTTTAGAAGTGGCTATGGAACAAATCCAATTGATGGGTTTTTTATAATGAGATTAAAGCCTTTACTGCAGCTGTTGAGGAACTTCCTGGGTTTGTTTCTACTCAAGCTTGAAATATTCAGCAGAAAATTTGCAGATAAATTTTTGGAGTCTGTAGCATCCACAACTGTAGATGCAGATACTTCAGATTTCTCATGCATCAGTCATCCACAGAGGAAATGGTTGGTTTGTTAAATTTGCCTTCAGAAACAAATCCTCCAGTGCACAGCAGGCAGTCATGTATTTTAGATTCGGTGCTTGGAGAAGATAATGGTGAGCATGTAAACTCTTTAGTTATCTGCTCTGCCTGGCCTGAAATGGATCTGGATATGTAAATAACCTAAATTAACGTGGGCGCTGTACAGACTGTGAGTGTACAGAATGTGAGGAAGTGCCATAAAGTTTCCGTTCTGAAAGCTGATGATTCCTGTGTGTTGTACATGTGCCTTGGTTGTGATTCTCATTGGTGTGTTTATTAAAAAAATGCCTGTTACCAGTACCCATTTCCCAAGGGAAGCAAGCAGAGTTGTGGGTGGATAGCATAAGGGCAATTGGAGCTGTAGGATAGCTAAGCTTCCTCCAATTTGCCAGATGGATTTTGTTCAGTTCAATCTTGAGCTTTCAAACATGATGTTTTTTTTCTGTGAGTTCTGTGGCTTCTATTGAAGCTTAATACCTACAAGACATCCTGGAAACACTATAAAAATTATCTAGTTGTATTCTTCCATTACAGTCTTCTTTATTGCCAAACTTTAGGAAGAGCTGGACCATGTGGTAATTAGGCAGCTACAGAATTCTAGGAAGAGGGGTCTGCTCTGATGGGATGTTGGGCATCCTGCTTACTAGATTACTTTTTCTTTTTTTGTGTCTGTGTGTCAGTAGATGTCGTTCGATGAACATGAACAAATTAATGCCTCCAAATGTCTATATAGCAAGCTATGTTCCAGGCATACTGTTTTTGTTTTGTTGTTTCTTTTTTAATGTGGATTTCAATTGAAGCCAAGAGTTGAATGGCACCAGCCAAGGCGTTTTTTGTTTCAGACAGAGGGTTATAGCCACCAGGATTACATTTAGCCAGGGTATATCCCCCAAGATACATCCTGTTATGCAGGCTGGAATTCTCTGCTTTTTCTGTATGTAACTATAGCCATGGAAGTGCAAGCATAACTGGACAAGAAAGATCCAGCTATATGTTTTACTGCATCACCTTGTAACTTGGAGGAAAACCAAGGAGAGAGCTTCCAGAGATGTTGCAGTTGAAAAAACATGACATAAATCACAGGAATAGCTTAGATAACTAGGCAGCATGCCTGGGCATAAGGGAAAATAGAGAGAGACTGTGATCTTTTTGTTTTGGGTTCCTACTTTATTCCTTCATAGATCTGGGAATGTTCTACAAGAAAGTTATCCTTTGCTGACAGAACCTTTTCTAAGGAATCATGGAAAATGTCAAAGAAGCAGGACCTAATAAAGTAGCTGACCCTTATAGACCAGATTCCCACTTCACTTTTCAGATGATATATTTATGGCACTGTCTTGAAATGATGAATTAGGGGGAATATTTGTAAGGCTACACTTGACAGAAAGACAAATTACACCACCTAGTGGAGTGAAAAGGTTTTATCTGCAGTTGAGCTAAAGGCATATAAACAAGGATTTCTCAAATATTCTAGGATTTAACTAGCTTTTGAAGGTAACTAGTTACCAAAGGAAGTACTACTACTTCTTGGTAACAGTACTGCCACGTTGCACTTATGGCTATTAAATGTTGCTGGCTTCTAGAGGCCATGTCACTTGATAGATCCTGAACCCTGTGGTAGGTACAGGTCTCAGCCCCCATCCAGGGAAGAACTGAATGGAATCCCACAGGGAATCCTGTGGAAGCTTATGTCTACATTAATAGCAACTGCAGCCTAGTAGGAGTGCCTTCGTTAACAGGAGTGTTGGTGCTGAGGAGCTGATCTGACTGCTGCACATTTCAGTAGAAGTTGAAGGATGCTAGATGTACCCTTGAAATGCAGCTGCCAGCTGCAGTTAGGTCAGAAAGAACACTCTCCAAGAGCACTCTGCAACATGAATAAAGGCATAGTAAGTGAGGATAATCAGTAAACTGTGTTCAAAAAGGTGTGTTTCTGGTCCAAACCAAAGTGAAGGTACATCCAGATGGACATGTTAATTGCTTTAGATTGCACTCATTAGCGTCTGGATGTGATCTCATCACTTCTATTGTTTTCACTTGTCAGCCTGAAGAAATGAAAAAACTGAAGGAGATGGGACTGGAGAATATGTGAGTAACATATTGTTAGTAAAATTGATGAGTCTAAAACCAGCAGTAGGTAACTTAGTACGTGCATTCTTTTTGTGATGAAATGGACAAATGAGCACACAGCATCTCCAAGGAGAAGTATCTGGTTTAACCCTGTATCTAAGTTCCCTCCATGGAAAAGCAATCTCAAGAAGGTAAATTGTTACATTGGTCTAAGAATAAAATAAAACTCGTGGAAGTCCCTCTCATGCTCAGTAAAAAGGAGCTATGAAAATGTCCATGAAGAAAGGAACTTTCAAGATTGCTTTTCTGCCTTATTTTCCAAAAGCTAAAGACTAGGTGCTATATGTTTAGTACTAGAGCTTTCAATAAGAAAATACTGCTTTAGGTAATTCATCTGTCATCTGTCACCCTGGGTTTCTTGTTCTGCTGGAGGAACATCCTACCTAGGAATTCCACCAGTTTAGTTATTTCCTGGTCTGCAAAGAACCCTAGTGTAAGGTGAATATTGTTTTCTTACTGTGCGTGGAATATCACAACTGCAGGGACTAAAAAAAATAAAACATGTAGAGAAAAAATAACCAAAATTTTAAAGTACCCTATGTATGCTTAATTAGTTTCTGATGTTTGTGGGAATAATGAAGCCATCGTACTAAACACTGCTGTTGTCCTACTGATCATCATATATGAATTCCTGCCAAAGCAGGTATCAGGAGAGTGGTCACATGTAGGATGGAACATGCAGTAAATTGGTAGATGACTGAAAATACAACAAGGGAGTCAGCTTAGAAAATGCTGAAAGGAAAACTACTGGAAATGTGGCAGCCTGAGCCTCAAAGACCTAGTGAAGCAGTGGAAAGAGCACAGCTTACAGATGTGCCAAACGGCAGCTTTTCAAACTCAACTTAAATTTCCTTCAGTGATAGAGTTGTAGTTATAGAACATCTAGAAAATTGCTTCTGTTTCCTATTATACAAACCTGCATTTGTATAGAATTTAATCAAATTTTATCTGGACCTACCTGTCAAATATGTTACAGCTAATTACTGAAATATTCCCCCATCATGCCTTCTAGCTTGCACTGGATAAGAAAATTGGACACTATTATCATACCCTATAAACTCTTTGGTGGGTTTGAAAGCAACCAGACATCAGAAATAACTGAGCTGGAGAAGTTGCAAATGTGGACCTTGACAGAAAAAGTTTTTCCCATCCTAAAAAGCATCCTGAGATTTCAGTATTCCCCACTGGAATAAAACCAAGACTATGTCATGGTTTTCGGCAGGGAGAAATGCAAAGTGGGGATTTGCACCTGAGCCTGTCACCTTCCTCCTCAAGCATTTGCTGTGCACTGTCATGGTGTTGACTATGCTTTCTCCTTCTACCCTGGAGCTATAAAGCTTTCTAAATTAAAATTTCCATTGGGACTGTTAGGATTATATAAAAATTTGTGATAGAGATGCAGCATTTTCCACTGAAACTGTTAAGCAATTCTCAAAACTTCTCCCACATGCTATAATGTTTGATGCCTTGCCTATCCAACAGAGTACATGCCAATAAAGCTGCAGCAACCTTATTAGTCTTGAATAGTCTAAGTTTTTTGATATTTTGTGAAGATCAGATGATCAGCTGGTAAATGCAGGCTTCAGAGCACTGAAATTAGTAAAGTGATGAATTAATAAAGACATGAGTAATTTTACTTGAGATTCAGGAATGGGTTTTCAAATATATTCTGTGTTACATAATGCAGTCTTTCCTGGAACTGAATAAGCAGACTCAGGTAGCAGTGGCACAGTATCTGTATCAGTATACTGCTTTTCCTAGAATAATTCCCCTTGTAGCCCAGAGTGACATGATAACACAGCTGTGCTGCTTTCCCTTCCAAGTTACCCTGGATGTGTGCCTGTATAACACTGATTTATGACATGCAGATCCATACCAATGGACTTAAGTATACAAACCCAAATGAATTGTGCTCCCAGATGTTCCGGTTTGATTTTTGTTGACTATAGATGCAACACCCTAATACAGTGTTTCTAAGGAGGTGGGGTATCAATTCTGCAACTTGTGGATTGGAGTTTACAAGACAATTTAGCCTTGCCTAAGGCTGCTAAAGAATAGCAGCTTCTCTATGATCTTTGAAACCCAAATCTCCAGTATTCAGACTAGCAGGATTTTCCTTCAAGTGGGGGTGGTGATAGAAGCCTGTCGTGTCGCTCAAAATACATGCATAAAGACTCCTCTTCCAGATGGGTAGAGTGCCTTAAAACTCTTGCATGCTGCTCTGGCCTTTTTATGTTGTATAAAATGGGAAGCATCCATTTTTAAACACATTCAAAAACATTCCCTGGCCAACTTCTCATTCCTATTTTGTTGGATGTTTTAGGCAGAACTTGTCTGATATATTAGAACATTTTACACCTATGAAAGCTGCCATCTGCCACAGAGCCAGCTGAAATTTGAGACCTTGGTAAAATATCATGCTAAAAGATTCTGAGGTTGTTGCAGCTGATTGCAATGAAGTGTGCATTCTTACCTATCCTTAACTGAGTCACTGCAAAGAACATTTAACTTTGTCTCTCTCACAGGATATTTGATGTTGTTTTTACATCAACCTAGCTGAAACCTTCCAGCATTTCTAACAGACTTTGTTGATAGCTAACAAGACATGTTTCAAGCTGTCTGTTCTTAACAAAGTCTCCTCATTTGTTGTTCCTGGTTTTGTTTTTTAAATCTAATTGAAAGTATTTATACAGAGCTTGAAATTCTAGACAGGCACAGGATTTGCTCGGAATAACTGCCCGTGTACAATGGAGGGCTTTTCTATAGTATTTTTTTTTATACATCCCCTCCTCCAATCCCCTGGCCAAAGTAAATTTCTGCTAAGCAATGTCAAAAAACCATAGCAACTATCTTGTGACAGAGCTGAGGAGGTTTTGTCTGCAGAGGACCCATTAATCACTACATTGCCCCAAGCCCACACTCCCATCCTATGCAATGCTGGGAATTTTCTGCTGAAAACGGTTGCTAAATATTTGTATGGGTGAAGAGCTCCCCTGGAAGTGACCCACGGGAGGAAGGGGTGCATGTTACTTGTAGTGTGTGACTCTAGGGATGGACAGAGGGGTTCCCATTAGCAGGAAACGGGGGTTTTC